TCTTGTTCTCACCAATTTTAGATGCACAAGAAGACTCAGGTTTGTACTTTGGAAGACTTTTATCCAAGTACAAAAGCAAGTAAAAGAGCAGACCAAGTCGAGTAACCAGTGCATTCTGTTTTAATTGTTTAATTGATTGGGTTTAAACTCATGTCCACATACCCAAGGAAGTTCAAAGTCATGAAAAATCCTTGCCCAAATAGTTAATCTCAATTGTAAAATTTAAAATAAATAACAGAAAGGAGACATTTAATCTAACCACCTGAGTCCCATTCTTTAAAACAAAATAAAGCAGAGAAGGCAAAACAAATAAACAACAACAAAGAAAAAAAATCCCCAAGAGGAAATTTCAGAATCTCTATAAAATCTAAAAGGGAGGTTTAATAGTGCACATTATTGCGTTATACTCTTTCATATAAACTAGAAGACAAATTGTATAAAAACATAGATTAATAGAAAAATATTTTTACATATTTATTAAGGTATAATTAACATATAATAAACTGCACATATTCAAAGAGTACTATTTGATAAATTTGGGCATCAACACGATCAGGATAATGAATACAGATACTAATCCTAAAGGTTTCCTTATGCCCATTGAAATTTCCTCCTTCCTGCCTCTCTCCAACACCACCTCCAGGCAATCACTAATTTGTTTTCTGTCATTATAGTTTAGTTTCTTTTTTCTAGAATTTTAAGTCAGTGTATTCATAGAGTAGGCCCTCTTTTGTCTGACTTCTTTTATACAGAATAATCATTTTAGGAATGATCGATAACGTTTTAATCATAAAAAAATTCATTCGTATTTTATTGTTGATTTTACCACAAAATTTTTTTTTCACGTGATTCTCTTTACTTGCACTCACTTGTTGGTGGACATTTGTGTTGTTTACAGTTTTCGACTATTATAAATTAAACTCTAGAAAAATTTGTGTACAAATCTTTTCATAAGTCATTGCTTTCATTTCTCTTGGTAAATCCCTGGAGTGATATGGCTGGGTCATAGACTAGGTGTATGCCTAACTATTTAACTACTAAACTATTTAACTACCAAACCAATATTTTTCCGAAGTAGTGTGCCACTTTTTATTTCTGTCAGCAGTGTATGAGAGTTTCCAGTTGCTCCAAATCCTCTCCAGCATTTGGTATGGTCAGTCTTTAATTTTAGCCATTCTATTGATTGTGTAGTATCCCTTTGTGATTTTAATGTGCATTTCCCTAATAACCAATAATGTTGAACACTGTTTCGTGTGCTTCTTTGCCAATTATATATCTTTGCTGATGGCATGTGTATTTAAATATTTTGCCCATTTTTAAATTTGGTTATTTATCTTCTTATTAGTCTTAAGAGTTACTTATATATTCTATATACACCTCCTTCATAAGATATATGTCTTGCAAATATTTTTCCCAATTAGAGGCTTGAATTTTTATTTTTTGTTATGGTGTCTTTTCAATAGTATTTTAAATTTTGATGAAGTCTAATTATTGATTTTTTTAATGTACTTTTTGTTTTTGGTGTCATATATAAGAAATCTTTGCTTTATCCAAGATCATTAATGATTTTATCCTCTTTTGTTCAAGGTTTCAGAGTTTTAGCTCTTATATTTAGGTCTATAATATGTTGTGAGTTATGTTTTTGTATATGGTATGAATTCAGGATTGAGATTCATTTGTTTTTGCACATGACTATCCATATGTTATAGAATCATTTGTTGAAAAGTTTATTTTTCTTCCATTGAATTGCCTTGTAACATTTGTCAAAAATCAAGTGATTATATATTTGTTGATCTGTTTCTTGATTTCGTATCCAGTTCCATTGATCTATTAGTCTATCTTTACATCAATACCAAAATGTCTTGTTTACTAAAGCTTTATAAGTCTTGAAATCAGCTATCATATGTCCTCCAATCATATTTAATGTTTTCAAAGTTGTTTTGGCTATTCTAGTTCCTTTGCATTTCATATAAATTTCAGAATCAGCATGTCAACTCTTAAAAAAAAAGTCTACTGAGGTGTTGATTAAGATTATATTGGATCTATAGATGAATTTTGGAAGTATTGGTGAAGATACAGAGCAACTAGAATATTCATATAGTCTAGTTAAAATACAAAATGGTACAACCACTTTAGAAACAATTTAGCTGTATTTTATAAAGTTAAACATACACTTACCATATGACTTGGCAGTCTAACTCTGAGAGTTTATCCAAGAGAAATGGAAGCATATGTTCAAACCAGGACTTTTACTTGAATGTTCACATCAGCATTATTCACAAAAGCCATAAAATGGAAACAAGTCCAAATTTCCATCAGCTAGTGAATGCATAGACAAATTGTGATATATTTATATAATGAAATACTACTCAGCCATAAAAAAGAACAAACTATTGATATATGCAACAATACGGATGAATCTCAAAAATGATGTGCCAAGTGAAAGAAACCAAAAACAAAAGACTGTATTATGTATATTTTTAATTCTATTCATATGAAGTTCTAGAAAAGATAAAACTATAATGACAGAAAATAGATTGATGGTTGACAGGGGCTAGAGTGGCATGGAGAGAATTTGTTGCAAATGCACATTAAGGAAATTTTTAGTGTGATAAAAGTGTTCTATAACATGATTATGATGATGATTATATGACTACATATGTTGGTCAAAATTCCTGTAATTTTACACTTATAATTACTAGATTTTATTGTATATAAATTATAATTCAAAAAAGCTTACAAAGGGGCTGGCCCAGGGGCAGAGAGGTTATGTTCACACACTCCACTTCGATGGCCTGGGGTTTGCAGGTTTGAATCCTGGGAATGGACCTGCACACCACTCATCAAGCCATGCTGTGGCAGCATCTCATATACAAAGTAGAGGAAGATGGGCACGGATGTCAGCTCAGGGCTAATCTTCCTCAGCAAAAAGAGGAAGATTGGCAAGCGATGTTAGCTCAGGGCTGATCTTCCTCACCAAAAAAAAAAAAAAACCTGTCAAAAATATGCAAAACTATAAACATCTTTGAGATATCAGGATATAATCAAAGTTGAGAAAATTCCATGTGATTCTACCCTTACAATTTCAGGTGCATTACTTTTTGCTGGTATGCTTCCTGTGTACAGAATATTAGCAATTTAACATAATCTAACCACTAAGTAAGAAAATTCAATTACCAATTAAAATTGCAGAAGAAATTTAGGTAACCAGGAAGCATTGATGCAATCTGTAATCTGGTACAAATATAATGTTCAGAAAGAAATCCTTTCTGTTACAACCAAAATTTTTTCAGTGAAGGTTTATAATTAAAAGATATTTATATTATTATTCCTAAAATAATCTTTTTCCTATGACCTTGAGGCTTAAGGACTTGACAACTTTAATTAAAGTAGTCACACCTGAGTTGAGTTGACTACAGGTGAAATCTAATGCCTAAGTATTTTCCTTCTACATCCTGTTATTATGAAAATGCTCCTCAATTTAAGAACACTTACCATTTGGAGTGTTGTGATATAGCCTTTATTATGTAGCATCAACATTTGGTAATGATTCCAAAAATACTTTTGGAATGTTTACTTTGAATTTTATATTAAATGTTGTACAGGAAGGGACCATATGGTCAGGCATTTTATAACTGTTTTCAACTGGTATTATGGCAAAACTACTACACTGAATGTAACCTAGAATATATAAACTCTTGCTAAAATTTAAATGTTCAAACAAGAGACACATTGAGTAAGTGACAATGCCAGAATACAATAAAAGCCCTTTCATTTACAAGCTACCGGAGGCAAACACTTTTTAGGGTTGGTGTACATTAAGGAAAAAAATTTACTTTTTGTGCAAGAAAGATATAATCAAAGGAAAAAGGTTTTCTTGTTAACACAAAGGCAGAATTAACATTTAGATTCCCACTATCTCCTGTAGGTCATAGATGAGAACACTATTTTTTCCCTTTTACTCTCAATTAATTTTCAGTCTGTTAAAGATAAGTAAGCAGAGCCTGATTCTAAAGCTGTCTATGTTCTGGAATCTATTGACATAGCCTAATTCCAATGTGTACCTTTGGGTCCAATGACAACAATTATTTTCAAAGGACATTGCTAATGAAACACTAATCGTAGAGCTGACACAATGTGGTCACATGGATAGAAAATCATACAGAGAAAATGCCAAAAAGTAAAAGCCTATCTTTAATCTTATTCTGCTGGTGACAGGAAAACAAATGAAGAGAGAAAACATTAGACATGGACAGAAGGAGGAAGTGTTGAAAATACTATTGCTGGATCACATACAATATCCAAGGAAATTTTGAAGAATTCAATCTATCGTTCAGATATTTTCTGAAATTTAAATATTATTTATGTAATATATGAATATTAGATGTTATATATATGAACATTTTGACACAGTGACCTCAGATAAATTCGTCTATTTGCTTAACAACCATTTCTTGAATCCTCATAATATATACTGCTTAGTAGAGATACAGAGATGAATAAAAGATGTTTGGTCCTTAAGGAGTAAGACAGGGAAGAAATGACTATAATATAATGACATCAGATGCGATGGGAGCACAGAAGTTGGAGTTCCCAAACTCTGCCCTGAGTGACCAGCTGGATGGATCAGAAAGCAAAAGTAGACAAATTCAGAAAGGCGATTTCTTGGCACAGGAAACAGCTTATACAAAGACAAAGTTGTGAGAGTATAGTCATTGCGTAAACAAGTCTCATGTGACCAAAGGATAAGATTTTCATGTTTGGAAGGGTGGTGCAGTGCAGGAAACTACTAGAAACAGGGCTGCTAAACTAACATAAGTCAGATGGTTAAGGGACCATTACGCAACTCACGGAGTTTTATCAATGGAAAACGGAAGCCACTGTTGAATTTTTACAGAGATACACCATGATCAGATCTACATTTATGAAAGATCACTTGACATCTAAAACTACAGCCATGCCCTGCATAATGACATTTTGGTCAATGATGGGCCGCATATAGGAAGATGGCCCCTTAAAATTAGTACCATAGGGCCTAGGTGTGTACTAGGCTACGCCATCTAGGTTTGTGTAAGTACACCGTATGGTGTTGGCACGACAAAATCACCTAACAACGCATTTCTCAGAACATATACCTGTCATTAAGCGACACATGCCTCTGCTCTGACTTGCATTGTTTTAGAGCTCTTTTAAGGACAATGACCATCCCTTTGTAAGCTAACACATTTACCTGGAGAACACGTTTAACATTCAATAGATGCTTGGGACAGATCATATTTTTCATCTCTGAACCCTCCCATACAAAAGAGAAATATTAGTATTGTTTGAAATACTTAGTATTATAATCTTTTTCACATATAAGATATTTGAAAGCAGAGCTCATTTTTTTCATCTTTATACCTAGAGTAGTAGTCCTCCAATAAATAGTTGAAGACCTAAGTTCAACTAAACCAAAAAGAATGACTAGTAATGGAGATCCTGAAAACAGACTTGATAGAGGAGTTGAGCTGGGGTAAACGGACAGCGAAACACCTGGCAAAGAGCAGGTGTTGATAAATGACTGTTATTTTGATGAGAAATTTTGATGGCAGGTAGGAGCTTTTGACATCTTAAAATCATATCAGCTTTTTGTGCTATATATTGTTATGTTAGATAGCTTAGCTTATGAGCATAAAATTTGAGTAGAAGGTAGAAATGTAATGCTTATACCTACCAAGTTCAGTCCCAAAGAATGTCATAATTACTTTAACATTAACTGAAAGACTTGAGTAAAACCAAAATATTAACTGTTAACCATGCCTTTGGATATGTAAAATTATTTGTTTAAGAATTTTAGTAGGAAAAAAATTTTTTGAAAGCAGGAAAAAATGAGTTATGCATCTTATTGAATACTCTCATAAAAATAAAATACTGTTAACTATTAAATAGAAAAAGTAATCTACTGAGATGAACAAAACAACCAATGAAAGGTGAATCATGTTGACAAAGTTATATAGTAAAAATAGACACTACAATAGGTTAAAAGAAAGCATCACTTTGTTTTTCCAAAGTAAGATTATAAGAGTTTAACCAAGAATGATAGCTATTTGGTAATTCCAAATTCATTATATTTTTTTCTTTTAAAAAATAAATTATTGTGACCTGTTTGTCAAAAGACATAATGTAAGAATATTATTTTACATTTCAATAATATCTCAGAAAATATTTTTGAGCAACTACAAGGTATTGGGGATTTCTACAAAAAAGAAATTTTAAAAAAATGCCTTCTTTTCTGGAGCACTCAAAGACTGTTGAAAAAAGTAACACATTAACAAATAATTATACTGTGGCAAATCGTATAATAAAAGCATAGAATTATAAAGCACTATGAACACAAATGAGAAAACAAATATTTTTTTCTGGCTAGGTTAGGGAAGAATATAAATTGAAGAAGCTCCTGTCAGACATCGTTGTAGGAAAATGGCAATAGTATTTTTTGCCATATGGGTAATAGTTTATTTTTGAAAATTCTTTCATTAGAAGCTGTCTATTCGATTAAAAATGTAGAATAAGAAATGGTGGCAATGAAAACGAAATTTAACATAGTATGAGGCGTAAAGCTCAGAGTATAATCAGAGCCTCTGTTCATTTGTACTAGTTATTTTTGGAAAATCTATCTCCTTCAGAATGTACAGTTCAGTCAATGAGTGTTGAGTTTACGATGTTCCCGGCACGCCTGCTTATGCAGGCCCTCCTCCAGGTGCTAGTCTAGAGGCACAGGGGCGAAAAGTCTATGCTGTAAGGGAGCTGGCTTTCCAGTGAGGGAGACAAACCACACACGAGATGAAATTTGCCCAGACAAGTGAGTGATGAGCAGGAGTCTCCTATGTGACCCCTGGAGCGACTGGACTCATCTACTAGGATTCCCTGAACAAAGAAGAGATCCTGAAAGTTTTAGGAAATCTTGCTGAATGTGAGGGAAAAAAGCCATATTTTTTCTGGATATAGAAAATTTCCAATGAGTTTTCAATAAAACTGTACTTTTGTTTTAGCGAAAGTACCTTTAAATACGCCTTTTATTTATATTAGCACCTCCCCATGTACCCAGAAAACAAAACCAATATCGGAATGTAAACGTTTATCTTAAGAACAACACTATTCTTGCAGGTAAAGCATGATGCTCTGTGTAAGTTTTAGCTAAAGCTATGTCCGCAAACCTGTTGCCCTTTTGGAAGAAATGTTTCTTGGTCTCGTAAGAATTTAGAGTTCGCTGAACTGTGAACTGATCTTACACTTATAGTCTTGTATGTATTGGTTTTCAAATATTTGTGGACAAAGCTGCTACTGCAAGAAAAATCTATAGGTATGAGCTTCATGCCACACAAAACACGCTGTGAATCAGAATTTGACTAGATTTTTTATAATTTGCATATATTATTGCTCAGATGAATGACTTAGAAACGCTGCTCAAACTATTATGTTCCAACTGATATGGCTCTGGGGGCCAGAGGATGGTTCCACATCCTTTTGGGAGAGAATATGGGTTTTTCTCTAAATGGTGAGGCATTCAGAAGCATCCTAAGAAGGGCTTTGTTGGAGACAAAAAATAAAATATGAGATACGAGTCTAAAACCGGGACCTCTCTGCACCTCTTGGCAATTTGACTTTCAATTTGGAGTCATAATTTTGCACAGAGTACTTCCAATAATTCTCAAATTTGTGAGTGTGTGTGTATGTGAGTGTGCGTGTGTGTATGAGCATGAGTTTCAAGCAGGAGTTGTCATCTTCCCGCCAGCTAGACAGGGAAATAAGGTATGCTAAAGATGGCCCTGGGTCTGTGGACCCTGTGAACAGGCATATTTAGGAGATAGTTTTACAACACTCTTAGTGTTGTATTTCTGTATTCTTGTCTGTATTCTGTATTCACACCTTCCATGAAATACTAGTCAAATGGTCGGCATCATCAGAGTTGTGCAGTGGTGAATGATGAGACAGGCGTGCTCCAGGTAAAGGATGGGGTGACATTGGAGAGGATGGTAGGGCCATCCTTCCAAGTGCTGCAGGAAGTGACAATCACCAGGAGAGGCTGACTTACCTCCAGCGTGGTTCTCTATCTGATGTGTTATTATCAACACGAATGCTCATGAATTAGTGAGGAAGCTGAAGTGGGAAACTTGAAGAACTTATTCCCAAGCACTCATGAGACAGCTCCTTGGAGGGCTCTCAGAAATAGCTGAAAGACCTTGTGTAAAGGGATTCAATGTCAAATTTAATTGGGGTGCTTAATGAGAGTATAAACTAACTTTTCCCATTGTCGCATGATGCCAGGATCTGTTGGTAACTTGGAAGGTAATGAATAGGAAGGATTGGGTCAATATTGAGAGAAGGGTGAGAGTCTACATCACTTTGGCTTTGGATGCTGAGCTCCTCAGAAATGGAAAATCAGTGGCAGTAAAACAAAGCCACAATAACCACAAAACTGGGGGCAAATTCCATCTTCTGAGGCTATGGAACAGTTGACATAACTTGCCAATAGGAAGCTACTTTATTCTAACCAAGCTATGAAATTTCAAAGGAATTGCTTTTGTCTTATTTATCCCTGTATTTCTAATTCCTAGCAGAGCACTTGATGCTGTGGCAAACTGTTGAAAAAGTTGGTAAGTAAATAGATTTTCTCATTAAATAAAATCTAAAATATTAATTTTTAAAATTGATCTCCATTGCTAAAGGAATAAATCACAAACTCCAGAACAGAGCCTGGCTCCAATTTGCTTAAACAATCTCATCTCCCAATCCTTCTCTACGTGAAAACCACAGTCATAATAACCCCTAGCCTTTCACGAGTCACAACTTGCTTCATCCTGTTGCCCTGTTTTTACTCAGCTCTTCCCTTGATTGAGGATGCACTTCTCCCAGTCCCAATGTCCATCTATATATTTCTATTTGATCTCAAAGTCTCTACTAACTGCTCATTCTTTCAATAAGTGTTAAGTGCACACAGATTGAATTAATCATTCCTTCCTTTTCACTACTACAACACTTTGGACTTTGGGGGGGGTGATAATTTTTGATGGGTGCATTTGCTACTTCCACTTGTACCCTACAGTTGTTTTCTTGGCATTAGCTCGAGGGAGGTTTCATGCATTTGTTTGTTTGTTTTAATGTAACAATTAGATCCTATTACTCCATTGCTCAAAATCCTCCAACGATTTGCCATCACTTAAAATTCAAGTCTTCCTCATGTCTTTCAAGGTCCACACTTCTCTGGGGCATGGCTGCCTCTCCTAAGTCGTCCTCCCTCACTCACTCCCCTCAAGCCACATTGCTTCTTGCTGTTGCTTTAGCTGCCAAGTCCGTTGTAGCTTCAGGGCTTTGTCGTTGGATTTCTTCTCTGCCAGGAAATATCTTTTCCCAGCTCTATCTGTGGCTCACTTGTTTATTTTATTCCTGCTTCTACTTAAATGTCACTTTCTGAGAGGAATGTTCTCTGACTTACCTAATCTAAAATAGCCCCAGCAAACACCTTTATCCTTCCCATCTTCTACCGATTAATTAACACAGAGCAATTGTTTTACAATGCATACTATAAGTTCCTAAAACGATGTAGTCAAAAGCTGATGTATTTCTACAAAAAAAAAACCTAAAAAGGATTAGAAGTAACATATTTAGTAATAAAAACATTGAAAGCAATCTAACTCTCTAACCTGCACATGGAGGTTTTGCTCAACAAATTGAATCTATAATAAAACCTAAATAAAATCTTACCTCTTCAGAAGGAATGGGGTGTGTTTCTTTTGATCAGTAAATATGCATAATCATTGCTCTTGAATAATTGCAGGATAATTAGTTTAAAGGCAGTCTCTCTTCAGTGAAGCGCATCAGGATGGGGTAAATTTAGACCTAGCCGTGCATGTGGTTTTGGTATGCTGTTGGTCTGGATGTAGTTGACTCACTAAGCAGAAAATTTTGTTCTGACCAACTAAAACCTGTTTCTCTTTTTTACCCTTAAATTGTATAAGGCTTAGCCCTCTAACCTTGGTTTAACTTTGATCAAAACCTCAGAAAGTCTCAGTACACGACTTTTCAACCACGAAATTCCTTTCTGCGTATAATGCTAATTTTAGTTTCCTCAGTTTCCCTGGATCTTCAGTTGCTCCTAAGAAGCTACTAGAATATCTGACTAGTTTTAGTTGAAACCACACATTATCAACTCACGTAGATAGGCTTCAGGGAGTTCACCTAGTTCTCATTCCCCCGAAAGAGAAGTTTTCTTCAACTTATATTACTTTGAAAATTATTTTGTGGTGTAAAATTATGCTAAATTTATGGTGTGAAGTGTTTTGTTTTGTTTTGTCACTCCAAAAGAAGCACAAGCTAGCAAACTACTCTTTATATACCCTTATTATTACTTCCATATTTTATCATTTAAAATAGTCTGCCATTAACAGCAGTTAGGGAAAATATTTCATTTATGGACATCTATATGTTATTTCACAGTGAGTCAAGCTTAAGTGGGAAATATAAAAAAGAATGTAAACTTCTGTATCCATTGGTTTTTTTTTGTGTGTGTGTGTGAGGAAGATCAGCCCTGAGCTAACATCCATGCCAATCCTCCTCTTTTTGCCGAGGAAGACTGGCCCTGAGCTAACATCCATGCCCTTTACATCGGACACTGCCACAGCATGGCCTGACAAGCGGTGTGTTGGTGTGTGCCTGGGATCCGAACCTGGGCCGCCAGCAACGGAGCATGCACAACACTCTATGACATCTATTGACCAAAATAATATTTAAGTGGAAGAAAAAGATTTCAATATTCTGTTCACAGATGGACTAAGACCTGTTGAGATGATAATTAGAATGTGCCAGGTTCTGTGGCTTTGGTAAAGAAAGAAGGTACACGGTCTATGGCTTACCATTTCTATCAGCAGGCAGCCAACAGGCTCTGCCAGCTGAAAAGAATCTATCAACAGACGTAGAACTTGTCGACTTTGCCAGATCTAGCACCATAAATCATTTGTCAAATGATTCGTCAAGAAATGAGAATGGGATATGAAGCTATTTTCAGTTACACAGAGGCTCACTGGCTTAATAGTTGTATGTTTTTAAGCTTTAGACTAAATTTCAAGCAAAGGGTTAAGTCTTACTGAAAAAAAGAAAAGCAAATTTTAAGAACAATTTAATGAAGAGAATTTCATTCTTGATTTGCTTTTCTTGCAGAATAATTTTAGACATATGAAATGTCTAAAGTTCTTTGGTTCATTGTACTAATACATTCACTTTGCAAGCGATTTTGCCTTTGGACAAAATTTCCATGGTGAGTAAGGTAACTGAAACCATACATACACATAAATTTCTAATAAAAGAAAATCTTTTTGTAAACCATAGTTCAATGTTTTTATTTCACAGACAGCATATTATTCATTCTTAAGTTAATTTTTATCAATACATTGAAAGATATTAAGTGTATAGTTTGATGAATACTGACAAATGTGTAAACATACATAACCACCTCTATAAAGATATAGAAAATTCTCCTGTACACTCTTACGGTCAAGCCTCCTACAACAAAAACTTTCTAATTTCTATCACCTCAGATTACTTTTTCCCTTCTTTGAATTTCACATTAATGGAATCATATATCATGTATTCTTTTGCATCTGGCTTCTTTTAATTCACATAATGCTTTTTCATATCTTTTTAAGTTGTG